ATCCCGTTTATATAAAAAACAATATTTTCTATTCGAGAACAATCCGTCCCAGGTTCGTACTATGAAATAAATATATTAACTGGATAAAATCTGTTATCGTAGTACTTTTAAAATTTGTTTTATGTAAACCACATTCAAATGTCCAACCTTTCAATATAGATCCTCCATAAACTTGAAATAAATATATAATTGTTTCACCACTGATTAGTGACTTAATCAACTCTCGGATAAGTTAGATTTCCGACGAAATTGGATATGGTGGATAAATTAACTTCGTAGGAGTTGACAATATGTATGTACATAAACATACATATTCTATATTACACTAGCTGCCCCCGCGAACTTCGTTTCGCATTACTATAGGTATTTATTTTACTTAGTAGCTACGTAGCAACATATGCAACATTATGCTATGCTACCCAATAGACTGTTTGCTTTTTCGGAATAAAAAGATAAGTACTAAATAAAACAAAATTTATTAATTGAGTTCAAGGAATAAATAAAAAACTTACTCGAACTGGTCCAGCCGTCTTCGAGTTTTGCGCTTTGCAACATATTTTGCAATTCATTTTTAGTTGTATAGAATACCCACCAATTAGTGTAATTGCACTCTTCTAAAGTAGTATTTCATGTCATTCGGTAAACTTGTGTTTAGCTAGCTTTTAATCTTATGAATATAACTGTCCAAAGAGGGCGCGGCCGCAGAGTTTGTTATCTTTGGAGTAGACTCTTGGGCCGTGGGGTTCAAGTGCACAGGCGTTAATTAAAGATTATAGTACTGGTGACCCCAGAGCTGGTGCTTTCCTCGCTCAACGAAAAAGTATCGCAATACAGCGAGGAAATGCTGCGGCCTGCGAGCGTTAAAGGTACACTGCCACAGGGATTAATAATAATAATCATAGGTTGTACCTCTTCAGGTCTGAGCCTCATATTTCTGAATCTGTTTCTTGTTCATTTTTCAATCTATTACTCAAGTAGGTGATTAACCTCTAGTGCCTGACACACGCCGTCGACTTTTTGGGTCTAAGACATGTCGGTTTCATCACGATGTTATCCTTCACCGTTCGAGCGAATGTTAAATGCGCACATAGGAAGAAAGTCCACGCCCTCACGGACGCCCTCAGGGATGAGAGTCGTACGCTGAAGCCACTAGGCCAACACTGCTCCCACAGGGATTAAACTTTTTAAATTTGATGTCATTTTCTATTTATTATTATATTACTAAGAATATTCTATATTATAATTCATTTCTTACCGTTCAGTTGGCTCATTAGTGCCAGTTTATAAATTCCGTTAAAATTTAATTAAATTGATTTATATGATCAAAATATATTTTTTAATGTATTCAAATTGTCAGTCCTATCATTTGTCATCCAAAAGCAAGATTAAATTGGCTAAAATTGCTAATTCAATTGATGTTTTAATTTGTTTTTTATATTAATTGATTCCTCAAGTCCCTTTATTGCTATGCGGAAGCCGAGTGAACCATAGAGACATAAAATATGGCAACTAGTTCAATTAAAATAATTGTTTATCAAGACACTACTATAAAAAACAAGGTTTGTAATCACACACTCATTCTATCATACAACAACGGTATAATTAAATGAAAACATGGATTCTAATGTCATATTTGTATGAGTATTCTTTATCCTCTAGTGCGATACTGTAGACTAATACAATCGGTCACTATTCGGTAATTGGTATTAAACTATTGTTTAATATGTATGTATGTTTCATAATTCTTTGGAATTTCGAACGCGTTTTACTAGTAGTACAAATTACTACTAGTTGCTTTGGGGTTTTTAGGAAATTTTTAAGCGACTCATACTGGCACCATTCTTTAATTAATTGAAATGTTAAGTAGTTTTGGCGATGATTCCTTTTTCTGATATGAATTCAATTATTATGAATTACATTATTTATGCCTATATGTCGTTGGACAAAGATGCTTATATATACGCATACCATGGAACGATTGAAGAACTAACCGTTCAATTAGATCAACTCAGAGTTCGTACGAGACTCAACAACATGCTGAAGATTACTTCCTTGGTCATATCACTCGTCGCGAACCAGTTTACCTGGACAAGCTGGTTGTCGTCGATAAGGCAAAAAGACCCGGGGCAGATCGCCTACCTTCTGGTTTGACCAAGACGCGATTCCCCCCATAACAGCGGGGCTAAGGGAAGCTATAGACAGAACAAAGTGGAGAGATACTAGACTACTACACTACTTCGCTTGTAGCGTTACCTAACTCAGAATATAGATTTTTCAAATGTTACCTTAAATGTCTACTTTTGTTTAATTGATACTAGGCAAGAAGGTGATTAGCCATCTGTGCTCGTTCATTTTTCGTCTTTAACATGGAGGAATTCTCACGTTTTCCTTCATTGTATTGTGCAAAGTGCGCATTACATAGCATGAATTGAATAGAAATGTCTTTGTGCATAGTCGGGATTCGAACGCATCCGGAAATGTTTGGCTAAGTAAATACGGAACATAACAAACTTTCAAAGTAAAATCAAAGATAAGTTGTTAGTCTAAAATAAATGGTTTTTTATAACAAAGTAGGTGTAGTTGTCTCTTTTGTGATAAATTTATTTTAAGATAAATTAAGTATGTAACTAAAAAAAACTTCGCGAGTTAAGTTCGGTGGCTGTTGTAGTATGGAGATTTTTAAAAAAAACTCTTTGTTTGAAGCTAGGTAACAACTGACTTTAATTGTTTAAAATATGAGCTTATAACTAACACAAAATAAGGGGTAGAGGGCAACTTGGCTTATTTAAAAGGTTCATAAAACTAAATGACACTTATGTTATTTAGACATTATTTTAAAATACAATTAAAGATGTTTAGTGTGGTACAAACTAATGGGCTCAATATTGGCTTCAAGTGAACAATCATCGTATGATTGTTTACATTTGGTTTACGCTTCCAATTAACTCGCGCTACAATTTTTTACGTCTCGGCTTAAGATTTCTGTAACTACAAACTTTCATTTGTTTTTTCTAAAAAGCAAGTACATGATCAGCCCCACACGTCGAAGAGTTTTTGGGTTCAGCAACGTAACTTCCTTACATGCTCACGATATTTTCCTTCACTGTACGAGCAAATTTTCCAAGGACCAAGGGTCTCGACTCGGAATGGGACAAAATCATATTCGGAGCCTATACCCCTATATTTGCATTCTTTAGCTTGTTCAGCCAATTCACAACTTCTTCTATCAACTATATCTCTTTATCACGTTTGCATGTTTTTGTTTCACATGTTTTTGGCAATAAATGGGCAAAAGCTTTTATATTATCGAGTGTCTAATCCACTGGTATTACATTGAATGTCACCGACAACAATGCACATTGTTCTGCGTTTTGAGTACGATGTTTACATAATACTACGAAAGTGCTCTAATTGTATAAATTTGAGTCTCATCATACCACAATCACTTTAAACATTACATTTGAAATATTTCTATATATTTTGCCGTCTAACGAAACTTTGAATTGCTATATTCGTAATTTGTTTCCATATTATAGTGCACGTTTTAGTATCATTAGCTTATTATAATTGATATAGTACCAATCGATTTCGATAAAGATTATCAAATCGCATTTACTACAATAGATTTCATAGAGAATAGAAGTTTTGTAAACTGGCATAAAATTTTTGAAAAAAAAATTCTTCGCTCGGGAATTAAAGAAGTTAAAAAGCCTTCTATTCAGTTCTAGACCAAACTATTATCAATATGAACAATATATATTTTATGATCAATTATCATAATTCCGTAATACTTACGTAACATCTCTAATCTCGACAAAGATGACAAATTATTTTCAGGCACGTTTTCTAGTGATGTAACAATTGCAACTAGCGTCCTGCTTCGGTTTTCAATTCCATAGATTATATTTTTCAAATTTGAAAATGGAACACATCATTTGCATTGAGGTTGATTTAAAGATAATATTTTTGTAGCTCACCTAAAGTTAAGTGATACCGTGTTTACAATGTCAGGTTACCGGCCTTTTGAGAGAGGTATGGTCCTAAGTATACAATTTTTCCTAATAATCTCTTATAAAAACTCTATTCTATTGAAGCTTTAATAATGCTATATGTATGTTATAAGTTTTATATATTTTGAACTAAATCGGAATTAGTATTTATTTGTTTCTATTCAATAGGTACCTATACAAAAAAGATTTGTTTAACTAACTGATATTGTAAATAAAACTTATTCTTATTTTTGTATCTTCAAAGATGATTTAGCTATTTAAATATTTATTTTTTTGACAATTTTTGCCTTATCATCCTAATTGATAGATTCATCCATCCATTGGATTTTCTAAACTAACGTTAATTATTATTAATAGTAGTGTCCACGTTGTTGTGCTAGGTTTGGAAAATTGAAGGTTAATATTTTAGGTTAAATCTCTTATCAAATTGCCTATTACATATATTATTATAGCACCTGATTATCCTCATACATGTACTGTGTGTAACTTTGTAGAAAGTTAATTTATTATTTTCGTTAATTCTATTTTTTCCAAAACATTAAGTATTGCGGTACAATTCTCTACTATGTGTTTTACCTTCAAGTGAGCGGAATGGAGTAACATTAGGAAAACTGTGTGCAATCATAAAATAGCAGTTTTCGCAACATGTTTTAGTTTTATTGTCAACCTTCACTATTTCTGGTTGGATATGTAACTCTGCGGTTTATATTGAATATGGGTATATAAATAAAACCACGAAATGACATTTCAAAACGCTTTTAATTTTTTATACATTTATCATCAGGTAATAAAATTCTCCGCTGAGCGGAAAGGTACTCGGACACAGTAATAAATATTCTTATGCTAAATCAGTCTAACAGTCGCGCCGAGGGCGGGGCGCCTTATCCTAGTATCACAGATTTGTAGAGCGGTGGGGCGGGGGGTGAATCGAACCCGCAAGATCGGGGCCTGAGGGGGCCCACGGGGCGGCTGGGGCCCCAGATGCACCGGTCACTCGTCCGACGCAGAAGACAGCTGCGTGCTGCCTCCAGAACTGAAGGAACTGCGACACGCCCCCTCTGATCCGTTTCCCGACACTGAGGTGCGGGTCTCTCCACTCTCTCTTCTCTCGCTGGTTGGGGTCAACGTTCGCAGCAGCTCAAGGGCAGCACGTGCGCGTTGACCGTCCGCTGCCGCCGTTGACGCAGACGTTCTCTCCCACGCGCTCTTCTCGGGAAGCAAAAGTCGCCGAGCTTCTCGCTGAACACGTCGCGAGCGCAGCGCAAATAGGAATGGTGACACCGCTGAAGCGAGTAACAATAACACTAACGCAGGAGTCCTTCCGCAGGACGCTAAGCCTGGCGCGACTGCTGATACAACAGCCACTGCCGCGTGCGGCACATGCAACATCACTAGTGCACCCGTCAATAGTCCCACTCGGGCTGCACGAGATTCTTCCCTATATCTAAACAATGATGCATTCGATATTCGACACCGGATAGACGTAATTCTTGAACCGTTGTTTGAAGGCGCTGGAGTACATGTTTGCACTGCTAGCAGAGGCACAGCAAGTGACGGCGCAGAATTAACCGCTGGCAAACCTTTTCTCAAATCTTCATTCGATTTTCCCTCCTTTCGAGAATTTCTCAAGCTTGCGATAGAGGGACAACGAAGCGGTCGTTCTGGTGGAAGAAGGAATGGACCAAATTTGCGCTCAGCCTCTACTACGTCTTCTGGCATATCTATTTTGAGAGTCAATCCTTCGCCTTCCTCAATGACATCAGGCAAATTAATATGAGGTTCATGTAGTTGAAGGGCACTAGCACCTTGTGCTCTGGCGCGAAGGCCCGAAGACCTAGCCGCACGATAAATTCTTGCATACATGATACAAACTATAGCCACTGGGGTGAGGATACCAGCTATTAAATAGACGATGTAATACGCTAATTCCGCTGTTTGAACAGCCGGCAAGGGGTAGTAGTGTCGCACAACAGCAATGGTGGCGCGAGAAGACGCCGCTAAGGCCGCTATCAGCCAGGTCGCGGCGCACAGAGCAGCGGGGCGGCGCTGTAGTAGCCGCGTGTGGCAACGAAGGGGGTCGGTGACTGCGTGATGCTGGTCCACGGAGATAAGCATAACAGCAAGAAGTGCTGCCAAACTATATGCCGCGGCGGCCGCGTCTCCTGCCTCGATCCAACCCTCTTTCTCCCGTGCGGTGTGCTCGCCAAACAATGCGGGCGCGAGCAGGGATGTCGTTACCAAATTGGTAGCCAGGAGATTGATGACAAATCTGTAACAACAAGAGAGTTTACTGAGTAAATTCATAACAAACTGAACATTAACGAAGGAAAACAAGCGTAGCAGTTTCAAAATATTTCCCTAACTCCATGGGAAGTGAAAATAGGTGTTGACATCATAAATCCTTCAACGAAGAGGACGTCAATTGGTTTTAGTTAATAGGCATCTCTGTTACATCATTGTCCGCATATGTTGAAATAATACAAGTGGATTAACGTTTTGGTTTCGTAAAGCAACGTGATGTTATGAGGCACGTTGTGTTATGATCGAGTAAGCTATTAGGATAGATTTGGATTGATTAGTTATATTGATAGTTATTAATGGAATGAGTGCATTGTTAATGATCGTTTAATTTGTAAACTGTCGAAATTTTAGGTATAAATAAATTAAATTTCCCATGAACGACGAAGTAACTTAGTTGTGCAATAAGAACTATTTGTGATATTTTAAGAAGTCAACATTTAGCACCATTTCAAGGGCATCATAAATAATATTGCGACATATTTGAATTTGTTAATTTATATAAACGCTTACAAGTAACCAGTTCTATGATATTTTTAATTTAATCTTGTTAGACTTAATTCATAAAGTAAACTTTCTTTAAACGATTGAACATCGAAATAAAAATGTTAACTGTATAGAATTTAGGGAAAGTGATGACGCACTTTTTCAAAATTATACTTGAATATATTTATTATTAGAACAAAAGTTGGTTATTTATAAGTCATAAAAGAAACATGTTGCACAAGCTTTACAAAATTTTGTCGCGTCATGTTCAAAGGCTTCCTAAAGCGTCAAACATAAATGAATTGTTCTCGGCTAAAACGAGTTCGTAAGTTGTTTATAGTCAAAAAATAATTGTAACTGTATAGGCGTTATAAAGGGGTTATAGCGAAAAGTTGTATTTATTTTCATTATTTTAGTCTTCTAAAATATGTGTATAGAAGTTCTCTCGTTTTCCGGAATACTATTTCATCCAGAATGTTCCTATTTACATATGCAAGAATGACCTTACTGCTGTGAGTTGTGACATTGGTTCCAGGACCTTCATACACCATTAATTTGAAAAACAAATGTAATATATTCTAGGAATATATCATGGCAGGCGGAATCATTTTTAATCAATCTGTTACCAGTTGAATAATGCTATTCTGATTTTATTTGTGTCATATGCTGAGCTTTTTATAGTGAAGGACGTTGAATATGATGATGACGTTGATACGTCAAGTATATTTTAATTTATAGAACCAGATTGATCTTTCTCTGTAATTAAGTAATCTTTATGAGATGTCAAGAATAAAGTTTACATATAACTGTATAGATAAAAGTCCCATTTTAAAATAATGATTTTAGATTTACTATGGTTAATATAAGTTATTTATATATATATATATTAACTTAACGAACAACACTAATTATAATAAGGTATTTGGCATAATTTTACATCTAATTGAGGAAGAATTCTCTTACAGCTATTAACTGCCAAATTTTGCAATCTGTCGAGGTTATCTTGGCCTAATAATGTACTCTCTAGTAACTAATATCACAAATTTATCTGTCGAAATAATTTATTACTTTAATTTCTTTTGAAGTACGCTTCAGACTTTTATATTTGAATGACAAATAAAAACACGACTTTGTAAAAATTGGGTCAGTGATGAATTGAATACTTAATGGTAAATTCACAAGAGTTTAACATCAAGTAAAATCTTGATTTGACTTGACATTTTTAAGTGAAAAACAAAGAGATTTGGTAATTTAAAAATAAATTATGAAAAAGCATAGACAATTAGCATATTTTGTCTTAATAATGCAGGATGGTGAATTATGTCGAGGTCAGCATACAAACTCAAGTACGTGATTTAAGTATTATGTGAATAGGTTTTATATAGATAGTTATAATTATGTAGTCATAACGTGAGACGTACGATCTTAGAAAAGTACACACTCGGCTGTAAATTAAACTAGATATTCATATGATAGTTCTCGTAGGCATAAGTTTTAAAATTGTCTCATAAACTAACTACAAAGCTCAATTATGTAATCCATCCATTATCTTTAGAAATAGACATAATAAAAAATAATCTTAAATTTAGAGGAATTGATTAAAATATAATCGCGCTGTTGCTTTTAATTTAATCTCTCTGTCTAGCTTACTAAAGAGTTCGTACACAATAAAATAAAAATAAATATGTAATTAAAACTACAATTTATCATTAATTTGTTAGCAACATTATAAGCAGTCATTACATTTTGTAATCAGTTGTTTTTCCTGTTTAACGTATTCATAATAGAATATTCCAGTATTCAAACAATCAAAAAAATCGTATACATGTTTTCCGGCTGTCAATCTAAGTAGGTAGTAGGGTAGAAGAACCTATGTAGGTTCTATAATAGTGGTAAGATCAGTATCTCGTTTTGTTTTAAGTAAGTACTACTTATCTCCTACTAAAATCCATTAGCTAGGCAGGACCTATGGCATATAATACCTAAGCCTCGGAGGCGGTACTAATATCTTTCAGAACATATTTATAAAACGATGTATTGACTAATAAGATCATGCATTTTCTACACTAGCGCATACTTCGGCATTTATTTATAAATTTTAAGATACTTTAAATATTATGATTTCATAATTCATTCAATAAGTTCTCTACTCTTCTAGGCCAAAATGCTCCACAACTGTGAAAATAAGTGTGTCAACTCATCCCATTTCAATCAAACCGTCGCTTTAATATATTTAAATCACACATATTGCCATTTCATTTAAAAAAGGAGGCAATAACAAATCAAAACGGTTCTTGATGGAAAATTTTATACTGCGAACTTTATATCGATATCAAACATAACAAAACTTAAAAATAACTTGTGTTATATTTATTTATAAACACAATCTCACGTTTTAGTGTTACAAGGACCGGCAAACCCAAGGCGTCATAGCAAAAAAACATTCTTGGAATGATACGCATGTTATTAGTGCCGTTCATAATTGATAAAACAATAAAAAGTGATACTAATTATGAATGATATATTAAATATATATATATATAGATTATAATTAAATATTTCTTTATAGGATAATGCAATAATTTTATCGTAGCGTTTATCTATATCAAATACACAAGTGTTTATACGCTAGTCGATTGACGGGAAACCCTAGTTATAACTTATAAGAGAAGTGTTCAAAGTCTAATCTTGCCTACACGAAAGATAAATTACATATTATTGAATAAGAATCTGATAAACTTGAACAATTTTAAGATTTTCTCTAAAATCATTACTACGTAAGTTTTATTGCGCGATATAATGTTACGATTTATTTTCAGCTCAAGTGAACGTACTATTGGGCCGATAAGGTGCTAACTTTATTTACGTTTCAAAATAATTTTAGCATAATTAGTACTTATAAATGTATTGATCCTCATGAAACATTTAACACTAAATTTTAAATATAACTTTTTCGAGTTTCAACACAAACAAATAAATTACTTTTTGAAATTATAATTCCAAGTTACCATAATCTAAGAAATAACTCGGAATTGTCAATGTTTTATGTTCTTTTTAATTTTTAAATGTTTGCCATAAACAACATCCCGCCAAAAGAGCCAAGGTGACACAACAGCCTCCAAAAAGGCCGCGACCAAATTCGCTAGATGGACGTCCGATTTTGTATCCTCTATGGCTTAATGAGTCATTAAAGTAATTTATGTGATTTCGTGGGACTCGGGCCCAACCATTGTTTAATGTAGCGGTTAGTCACACATCAATAAATCAAAGCACTCAACTGTCAAACTTGTGACATGGGTCTAGGCATGGCTTAATTTTTTATTACGAATTTCGTCTATGGTTCTTAATACTTTCGTCCATTTGTTATCTGTAGGATAGCAATACTTATGATTTTTCATTGATTCCTTTGTATTATAATATATTGACATTATTACTTCACATATAATCAGCAATAAAACCGTTACTTTTAGAACTTCGGCTAAAGAAGTTTACAAAATAGTAGTTTAATAGATGTTAATTATAAACGGTCAAACGTTAGTGCAGACTAGTAAAAGTCGTATAACCGGTTGATCCTACAATGGAAAGGACCCACTCTCTAACATGCCAAACCAAATTTACAAGGTATTTCCAGAAAGTTCGGCAACATTTTTAAATTTATGTATTCAGTTTTTACATGATACGTCAGCTGTTTATTTCTAAAATCAACTTTTCTACGTTTTTTTTTCACACATCATTAACTTACAGCAATGGTAAATAATACCAATCAAAGTCTAAATAATTATTAAAAGAGCCAAAGGCAAAGGAGATCTATCCAAAACGTCAATAAAATTAATTGTCTTTCCATCCATTGTAAACAATAAATTCGGGTAGGAACTGACGTAAAATAAAAAGGTGAAGGCTGGGAAAGGCAAGGAAGTTCGAACGACAAAAGCCTGCGCGTGAGTTTCTTTTTCGCTTTCCGGTTTCCGCGTCAAAGAAACAATTGTAACAATGGGTGTCGTGAATTCAAATCGACAAATTAAAAAAAAGAACAACTTAATTACATTTTTATAAATACTTTTGTAATTAATAAAGATGAGCTAAATGAATTTTAAACGTCATTGGCAAAATTATTTTTTATTTATCTATGTAGTCTGGTTCATGGAAATTAAAAACTGATAAATTACACGTGAAATAAAAACTTTCCTTTGCCTATAATAATTCAAAATGTAATGTATTTGGAATGTACATTAAACGCTGGTACTGGTTTAATTGTAATTTTAAGAAACGTAAAGAGATATAAAGTGTTTGCCAAGAGTTCACGAACCACGAAAAAGTACAAATAATTTTCTTAAGTATTACTACAGTTATGAGTACTTTCAACTTTGCTCCTGAGAGCTATGTGGGCAATATCGTGTCTGTCCCACGTTTAATTAAGAATACATCCCTACATCTCCTAGGTTAATTTCACTGTTATCCGTTAAAGGTTTGTTTAAATGTTAATTCCCGCGTAAAGCAAAGACGCACGCACAATCACGCTG